CCCCACCCCCTGCACGTGCCTGTTGGACAGCTGCTCTTTGAAGGATTTTGGGCATGAGACAGGTTAGGAGCGTGAGCTCCAAGAGCTGGTTCTTGACCAAAAACTTTCCTCGTCAGCGAGTGAAAAACCGGTCGAAGATGTTCTGTTATGTCTTGTTTTCTTCATGATGAATAAGTCTCTAAACTAGCGGGGCTTGTGAAAACACAGACCCAACAGTAATAGTTTGAAAATATTTGTTTTACGTCATTGATTTAGATCCTAGTGGTACAGATCATGTTCCTTGCTATCCATCAAGGCCCATCATTATTCACACTGAGTGGACTTAATTTCTCTTTAGCATAAGGTTTGAAGGAAAAAAATGTGAGTGCATACTGATTCATTGAGACGGGCAATTAAATCTCCATGTGACTGTGCATCCTCGCTAACACACGAGTAAGATTTTAACATGGTTCACTTGCACTCTACCAGTGTGTGACAAGAATGGGAGGTTGCAAGGTGTAAGGAGGTTTTGGTGTAAGGGGAAATACAACATCCCTCCTCTCTCTCTGCCACTTTCTGTTCTGTTCAGATGCAAAAAGCTAAGGAGTGAGCTGTTTTTAGTGCATGCTCAGCACTTAGCTCCAGGATGCAGCACTCTAAATGCTGGTGTTGTATTTGTCCTGAAGGCGCCTCGAGATCAGCATTATGTGTTTATTTATTCACCTATACTCTGAGGGGAGTGCTTGTTATAACATTAAGAACAGAGTAAAAATGTCTTCCCTTTAAACACACATTGCTGTGTAAAAACACATCCTCACTAACCAAAAACACAACAAACTGATAATGTAGAAATAAAAAAGAAAATCAAAACATTATTGCGATGTAGTTTCCAGATATGTTGATCTTTAAACATTCCAGCTTTTCAGTAGATTACCAGGCACACAGGCTGGAACTGTGACACAATACTGTTTGTATCATGGCCTCAGTCTTGCCTATCAATATTTTAATTGCATTATTTTAGATGGTATTTGTGGTCTTCAGACTAACAAGCAAGAAACTGAAGAGTGTAAGAAGCTTAAGCACAAATGATCTCATCTCTGTATTAAATCAGATGAAATGGTAATAAGCTACAACCCTGTTGTCAGAGAAGTTGGGTCGTGGCTTTCGTTTAATAAAAACTTGACTCACTTTGTTCACATGTACATGCAGCTGCTGCCCTGCTGGACCCTGCGCTACATTAACCTACACCAGCAAATTCTAGAGGCCCGTTCCCCACAACTCTTCAGCTTGGCCCAGATCAGCATGGACAAAGGTCTGTTTGTTTTTTGTTATTGTTATTGTGTTGTGTTATATGCCCGTGAGTGTATGTGGGAAAGAATATTTCAAACCTAAGTGAGCATTTAGCCAGTTTACCACGTCAAGCATCAGCCGTTTCAGTGTATTCGCGCTGTGTGTGCTACAGTTTGGACAAATTGACGATAGAGTTGTTTCCAGCTACGTCTGTGGTGTCAGAAGTAGTGAATTCTTTGTGGTCCATTTGGACTACACCATAGTCAGCAGTTCACTCTGAGCTGCTGTGCTGCTGATATCTATCAGTATCTTATATAACTGTTAAACTGGCTGATGAAATTAATGCACATTTATTGCGTACATGAAACGAAAAAAACAAATCGTGAATTATCGCAAAATGTTTTAAGGTTGGTTGAGGCAGAAAATTTAATAAATGCCGAAACTATATAGAGGCTGGGAGGACACAAACAGCCTTGGGGTGACAGGCTTTAGTTTGTTGGCAGATCAAATTCAAATTAATTTTATTGATTGGATAGGTGTTCTTCATGGCTGCAATTCCTGCAGTGTAAAATAGACTTAGCAGCAGATTATAGTCAAGTAGTAAGCTTATATATGTTCTGCATTTTCTGCATTCCCACATTAATATGATATGCGACACATAGTTTGTGCTTTATTCATTGGCTTTAGTTATTATATTCTATTTTGTGATTAAAACATGCTTTAAGTAAAAGAATCAGTCAAAACTGGACTCTTGACTGATTCACAGATTGCTTTGCTTTGAAACCAAAACTCCAAATATAACTTACTCCCAACCGCATTATTTATTACCACAGCGGTTTAGCCACGCTAAAAGAGTCTCACTTTAAGCTCAAAAAAGCCATTAATCTGGCTTCGTAGTACACTGTGACCTCTGTGATCAACACTGGTCTTGCATCCATTATGTGTATTCCTTGGTTTAGGCAGGTCCTGTTTTCCTCTTCGTCTCTGTCAGTAGTGGTTTCTTTGCAGCATTTCCACATAAGTCTGACTCCCACAGTCCTCCTCAGTTATGACAACCATTTATGAAGTAAAAAACATTATTAAACATTATTCCTGCATTAGACAAACATCCATATTAAAGACTTTGAGTAGTCTTGTGCATTATTATAAGATAAATCTTATTCATAAATTTTATTTTGTTGTCTCTATATGTGTGTCTATGACTTGGATTTCATTATGTACTGAGAGGTTTTCTGGGAAGGCATGGCCCATTTCATACATATGCATACTCCTTTCAAAAATGTCTCTGGCATATAGAACATGAAGCACGCACTGGTTTCTTAGAGGACCACTACCCAAACTGACATGTGGGTACCAGTGCACTGAAGAAACGTTCTTTGTTTATAAGCAGTTGTTTAATCACACTGTGTTCCTGTAATGGAATTAGAGTGGAGAAAATATCAGTATGTGAAATAACTCTGTTCTGCGTAAAGCAAAGCTACTCTCCCTTTCCCATCGTCCCAGCAGAGCTTTTATCAGCGTTTGGATTGTTTATGTAATTATTGTTGGGTTTTTTCCACAGCCTTTCCAAATGGCTGCTTGCTGGAGTTTGTTTTTTAAAGGCAGTGGGTTTGTTGGAGCGCAGTCTGTTGTGTGGCAGTTAACAGAGTGTGAAGGGCGAGCCGACTGCACATACTACAAAACATACTGATCCATATTCCAGAGGAGCAGTTGGACACGATGCTTTTACGAGTGGTGTGAGCAGAAAAGTGATGCTGTGACAAGCATGCACATCTGTTTTCTGCCCATGGAGGTGCTGCCATGTCTGGCTTGATTTCCTTTTGTTTGGTGCTCAACAGGAATGTTTTTGCTGAATTAATGTCCTGAACATTTCTACTGTTGGCCAGTTGCCTTTAATTATAACAGGTTTTTTTTTCTGTAAGGACATTCTTTGAGACTTACTCTCAGCTGCAAAGTCAAAGTGTCTGCGTGTTTGAAGGTGCCCACTGATATTGTCACAGCTTAGCTGATCAGAGTAGTTGTTGGGTTAGAATGGGGAAAAAAACACACCTATAAATATCTACAAAGGGTGTGTGTGTCTGTGTGTGAGACATATTTTACATATAAGTCTATTTTAATATGAAAGGTTGAGGTTATTGTCACTTGGAAAGAACAAAATCGGCAGCTTTAGGCACTCAGTACTTTGTGGTGGCTCACAATTTGTACCAAAAATGTTAAAAGAAGTCCCATGAAGCTAGAAACATTTGTGATGTGTATGTTTTGCAGAGATTTACCATATAAGTAAGCAAATCAGTATGAACGCTGCATGTTTATTTGCTTCTGTGAATCAAACTGTACTATATAACTGTTAACACGATGTGCTCGCTTTAGTTAACGTGCAAATAGCCAACCTGCGACGGCGCAGTAACACGTGTTACAAATGATCCTGCTAGCCAGCTGATATGGTTGGCTTTGCTTTGCATTGCTTCTGTTAGTAAACTTCCAAATTTTGTTTTTTTTAAACAGAAGCCATTGCAAATGATGTTCTCTGTCGGTATTTATCTTGGCCTACAGAAAGTGTTTGATACAGTAGATTATTGTCAGTTATTAAGGAAATTAGAGAGATGTGGAATAAGAGGAATAGCCTGTTCCTGGCTAAAGCTCATTTGAAAAATAGACAACAGTGTGTGCAAATTAACAAAACTGTTTGAATTTAGAAAGGTTCAATGTGGGGTTACCTCTATGATCAGTGATTGGTCTAAAACTCTTTAGACTTTACATTAATGATATAAACAATTTACTAAAATGAGTAAATTGTTTAAATTTGTTATTTTTGCAGATGATTTAAAGATTTAAAGGATATTTTGTGTGCAAACGAACGTGAGTATGACATTCTTAACATGTGTTTTGATATCAACAGATTGTCCCTTAACTTAAACTCCCGGAGAGCAGCCATTTGGCTTTTCTACCTTTAAAACCCGGAGAGCAGCCAAATGGCTTTTAGCTAGGCTTTAGCTTCAGCCAAGTGGAAGCTAAATTGGCTAGTCATTCATATGTAAATTAGGTTGTTACCTGGGAATTCTGGAGGGAGTGTCTGTCTAGTGGATTGAGGAATTTTCCTGCGACTCTTGTTGACTGTGCCGAGGATGGTGGTTTTCCATCTAAGAAGTTTTTGCGCAAGTGAAAGCGATGTGAAAAAATTGTCCGTGGTAACATTTCTGCCCTTGTCTAGGAATGGTTCCATCAGCCTCATTACTACATTTTCAGAAAGTCTCTCCCCAGTGGGACGACTGGGGTCCTTGCCAAGATATGGGAGGACATTGCAAATGTACTTGGATTTTAGGTCGCAAGCCACCCAAAACTTGATCCCAAACTTGTCAGGTTTACTTGCAATATACTGCAGGAAACAGCACTGAGTCTTTGATGGGAAAAGCTGTAAGATGACAATTGCAATAAATGCCATTAGTTCAGGGAGGTCCATGAACCAATGAACATGCTCCGTGCACCACTCAGCAGGCCATTTGTAAATATGTGTACAAATGGTTGGTTTTTTGTACTGTTTTTATCAATAAATCTCAGCAACAAAGGACATACACCCATGTGTGTTGATTTCTCCCTAAGATGGCAAACTGAAACACTCCAAGTTGGTGACTTTTGGAGATTTATTTCCCTGGATGATTGAGAATGCATCAAGACGAACACAAAAGGAAGTTCACAGCTTTTAGCAGCTCCCCCACCCCCTCAATCACACACCGCCACTCCCCTCCCTCCAGAATTCCCAGGTAACAACCTAATTTACATATGAATGACTAGCCAATTTAGCTTCCACTTGGCTGAAGCTAAAGCTTAGCTAAAAGCCTACCAGCCATTTGGCTGCTCTCCGGGTTTTAAAGGTAGAAAGGTAGAAGCCTGGCAGTGCTACTGATATTATTAAGAAAACTCAATTCATGCTTTTTGTGACCATAAAAAGGATGTAAAGAAAATATTGAATTTAAAGGTTTTTAATACCAAAATTAAAACAGTCAGTGATGTAAAATCCTATGAACAACATTTTCATTATATTATAGGGAAAATGTCAAAGTTATTATGTGTTCTTTATAACACTAAGCATCTATTAGAGCTTTACATATAATTTCCTGTTCACTTGTATTTTTTTCTTGTGTGGAGTTGTGGGGGTCGGCTTTTAAAACAATAATAAATTCAATACTTATACTACAAAAAAAAAGAGTAATCAGAGTCATTAATAAGACTGGTTATGATCACACTGAGGCAATGTTTCTAAGGTCACACATAATGAAAGTGAACGATTTGGTGTTTTTAAAGTAATGAAAATGATGTTTAAGCAAAAAACAAGTTACTCCCAAACTGTGTTCAAAGGTTTTCTCAATAATTAGAGATTTTTGTCATTTTACTGTAACAAAAGCAAATAAAGAGATTAAACAAAGGTGTACTTCTGTTGTTGGGGTTTAATTGTCGAATGATGTTGATATGCGTTTAAAAATAAAAAATGCAATTCATTTGCAGTCTTCAAAAGAATGCTCCACAAATATATTTATCGAGGGTTATATTTGATTTGTTAATGTTAGTCTTGTCTATTTGGAAAGGTAGGGTACCTTAAATGATAAGAATGTTGGCCAGGCATAAATATAAGCAGGGCTGCACATAAGTGGTCCGCAGGTGCGCATTCGCTGTCAAAATAAAAGAATGAGGGAATGAGACTGCGCTTTCCTCTGTCCATTCCCATCGACTCCATGCTCAGTGTGTCTTTTTAAGGTCTCATTTCAGGGCCTGAGTTCTTCGAGCAGGGTTGTAAGGAGCATAGATATATTTGGTTCATGCATAGAAAAGAAACTGGACCCCTGGTGTTTTTCTCAGTTAATGTTATCATTTCTTAGTGTCCATCTACTTTGACAATCTCTGAACATTTTAACTGCAAAATCACAATGTAAGATAGCTAATCTGTGTTTCATGTTCATCCTCACTGGAATGTTCTTCCCTTTCCTTTTACAGTGCTCAAATGCCAGTCTGTGTTATCACAACACAGAAACCTGGCTATTCAATTCCACCTCGAGTGCGTCTACACTAGTCTCACCTACTATGAGTACCAGCGTGCCAAGGAACACATCGAGAAGGCTCGGGAGCTTTCGGGGCTCACCATCAACATGACTGGTAACTGAAGTACACACCTGGAGAAAAGAATGCTGAATTGACAGATAACCATAGGAGGCCTGTATAATCAGGGAGAGTTGACAAAAGGGAGTTCTACATGAAACACAATTTGACAGTTTAACAAATTATTATTAGCAAACCCAAAGCTACTAGAGCTGCAGAATTAGGCCTCCAGTAGTTTAGCCTATGTTGAACTCTTGGAGATCTTATTGTTTAGGAAGGAGCTTTAGTTTTAGTCAGTGACTCGTTATTTCTCGAATTCTACAAACAGGATAAAGTATAAACTATTAGCTTCTTAAGTGATAAAGTAACATTAACCTTGTGCCCTGGCTGTGGCTCATTTTTCCAGTGTACTGGAGCGCTGTATTATAGGACTCTATGAAATACTGTCCAGTTATCATTTTACACCCGTGCAGCTTTTTATTGAAAAAATAAGTTTTTAAATACTTATGCTGTATTTTTATATTTTAATTCCCGTTTTGGTAAATGGGCTGGTTCTTTTATAGCGCTTTTCAACTCTAACTGAGCACTCAAAGCGCTCATTTTTTTTCCTATGTTCTTTCTATGTAAGTAGAACATGGGGTTCACATGTGTTCACACACGGGGTTAGTATCTTGCCCAAGGATATTTGGCATGCAGACTGGAGGAGACGGGTATCGAACCACCAACCTTCTGATTAGTAGGCGACCTGCCCCGCCACCTGAGCTACAGCCACCCCTTTTACCTTTATCTTATCTTTTATTACGAACAATTTAGCCCATAAATTAAACTTCTCAGATATGTTATTTTTGCTGCAGGGTCTACACTAGTAAGATCTTTTTATATAAACGAACATAACTATTATCTTTCTCACCGGCATTTTTCAATCATTCAATCAACTTTCATTTCAAAAGTTATAGAGTTGTGTGATTTTCTTTTCTTTTTTTTTTTTGTGAGAAATTGATATTCAGAGATATTCAAGATATCTTTAGATGTCAGCTGCTGTAGCTAGCTAGCTTTTTGCTAACTTTATATTCAGCATAACCTCATAAATCCTTGATATCCTTGATTTCAGATTTGGGTGTGTTGAAGTATGGACAGAGCAATAGGTGTCCAACATTCTAAGCTGGACTGACAACATGTTGCATTATTGCATTAATTGTTGAATAATGCAAATGGAGTTACCAGTGGTGATGCTGAATAAAATGTCCAAATTTAACCATAGTATATCTAAACCTTTTAAGCTGATTTCATCTGTAGGTGCCCTTGGCAAACGTACCCGGTTCCAGCAGAACTACTTGGCTCAGCTCATCCTTGAAGTCAAAAGAAAGCAGGACCAGCCTTGTCAGATCAATGATGAGGAAACTCCCACCCCTACACCTCAGGCTAGTCTTCCCAAGGTATGAGCGTCTGTTTGTCTTCTTCCCAGGGCACTTTGGTTGTTCGGCTGACTGACTGTTGAGCCTCTATCTTCTATGTTTCAGACACATTTATTTAAAGTTCGGTAACTTGCAACATGTCCCTTAAGTTAACCCACTTACACACACATTGATAACACATCGTCTTTTCCACCTTTAAGCTAATGTCCACACACTCACAATTTACCTTTCAAAACTGAGAGAGATTCCATGAAACCTATGTGTTTATTGTTGGTATTTATATTCTTGGTTAACTTGAATTAACCTTTTTATTTTTGCCTTTATACACTCTAAGACCATTTGTACTTGAACTGTCTCTCTTATTCAGTTTCGTGATTGCATAAGTATTTGAAGTTTGATGTGTGACTTAAATTGGATATGTTTGAGATTACTAGGAGAAATTCTTTAATGGCAGGGGCCGTACTATAAACAGACAAGAGTCTAACCTTGACTCCTCTAAAAATGGATAGCTTATGGAAGCTGTCTCATTGACTTGGCAACAGTCTGCCCATTTAACCTTTTCTGCTAGCCAAAATTTACAGAGGTGCAAATGCTTTTTAATACCCACCATCATCAGCAGAGGGGGGTGTCTACTTCTGGACCTTTTATAATACCCTGTGAAACCTGTTGATACTGTTGACCCTGTTAGTTCTCTGTGCGTTACAAGTTCTCAATATATAGACCTTTAACTCAATCTTTCTCCTGAAATGGGAAAAGAAAGAAAAATTTTTATGCTGGAGTGCAGTTAAAATTTATTAAACCATTCTATCTCCCTCGGGAATCTTCTGCCGTTTACATCTGCGCTGTTTACATTCCACCAGATGCTAATGCTAAGCTAGCGTTAGCACAATTGAGCAGCAGCATCAATAACAGCCTGGTAGCACACCCGGACAGTGTCTTTATTGCGACTGGGGATTTTAACCACGCGGACCTGAAATCTGTACTTCACAATTTCCACCGTAATGTGAAGTGTGCTACCAGAGGAGATAGAACGTTGGACCAGGTGTACACCAACATGGCGAATGCATACAGAGCCCAGGCTTATCCCCACCTGGGTCTGTCAGACCATCTCTCCCTTCTGCTACACCCAATATACACACAAAAGATCAAGAGCACTGGGATTACAACCAAAACCGTGAGAACATGGCCGCAGGATGCTATTCCGATGCTTCAGGACTGTTTCCACTGCACAGACTGGGATGTATTCAAGGTGCAGGACACTGACAATCGTGTCGCATTGGACAGTTACACCTCCACTGTCTTGGACTACATCTGTTTCTGTGTGGACAATGTAACAACTTGGAAACGATTCCGTGTGTTCCCTAATAATCCACCCTGGATGACACACGGAGTTCAACAACTTATTCGAACAAGGAACAACGCTTTCAAATCCGGGGACCAGGAGGCATACAGTGCTGCCAGGGCCAACCTGAGAAGAGGCATCAAGACTGCCAAGCAGCAGCACAGGAGGCGTATCGAGGCCAGGTTTGAGAACAACACAAACCCAAGGCAGGTCTGGGAGGGCATCAGGGCTATCACGGACTACAAAAGAAGAACACCATCACCCTCAGCCGACAGTTCTACTCTGGCTGAGGATCTAAATCTCTTTTATGCCCGTTTTGATAGGGAGAACACCGACCCTGTCCTGTCCCCTCTCCCCTCAACCGATCCTGCTCCAGTCCTGAGCACTCATGAGCTGAGGCGTGTGTTCCGGAGCATTAACACCAGGAAGGCGGCCGGGCCAGATGGAGTGCTGGGCCGGGTGCTAAAAGACTGTGCTGCGGACCTGGCGGACGTCTTCACCTCTATATATAACACCTCGTTGTCCTGTTCACTGGTACCATCCTGTTTCAAAGCAGCAACCATCGTTCCCATCCCAAAACAGTCAAATGTCACATGTCTGAACGATTTCAGACCTGTGGCACTCACCCCCATTCCCGCCAAATGCCTGGAGAGACTGGTCATTAAACACATCAGAGCTGCTTTTCCACCATCCCTGGACTCGCACCAGTTTGCATACAGGGAGAACCGGTCAACCGAGGATGCGATCGCCACAGTGCTGCACACATTACTGAAGCACTTGGAACACAGGAACACCTATGCACGGCTCCTCTTTGTAGACTACAGCTCGGCTTTTAATACCATCCGGCCATACAAACTCCGTCCCAAACTCCACCAACTGGGACTTAACTCCTCTCTGTGCAACTGGATTGTGGACTTCCTCACTAACCGTAGACAGAGTGTCAGAGTGGGTAAGAACACCTCTTCCACCCTTGTGGTCAACACCGGTGCCCCTCAGGGGTGTGTTCTGAGCCCTCTGCTATACACTCTCTTCACCCATGACTGTATTTCCTCCTGCGCGTCCAATCTCATTGTTAAGTTTGCAGATGACACTACAGTGCTCGGACTTATATCCAACAACGATGAGACAAACTATAGGACAGAGGTGCAACAACTAGAGTCATGGTGCCACGACAATAACTTGGTCTTAAACACCAAAAAGACCAAGGAGATCATTGTAGATTTCCGGAAGAAGGGTCATAACAACCATCTGCCTCTCTTCATTGGCAGTGAGGCGGTGGAGAGGGTGAGCAGTTTTAAATTCTTGGGGGTAACTGTGACCGAGGACCTGTCCTGGGGCAACCATATCACCTCAGTTGCACGGAAGGCCCAACAGCGCCTCTACTACCTGAGGAGACTGCGGAGCGCACACATTCCCAGATCTCTGATGTTGAACTTCTACAACTGTGCCATCAGCAGCGTTCTGACGTATGGATTTCTAGTGTGGTTCCCCAGCTGCACCAAGGCCGATCAGCAAGCACTCCAGCGGGTGGTGAAAGAAGCTGGCAGAATTATTGGAACAAGTCTGCCAGAGATCAGTAATATCTTCCCCACTCGCTGTCTGAGGAGGGTGCACAGTATCCTGCGGGACCAACATCACCCTGCGCGCCACCTTTTCCACCTGCTGCCCTCAGGGAGAAGGTACAGGTCTATACAGGCCAGAACATCCAGACTGGCCAACAGCCTGTATCCACAGGCTGTGAGGCTCCTGAACTCTCTGCCCCCCTCTCACGGACAATAACCATATCCAACTTCTTAATAGCAATGAACTGGTCTGCATTGGTGCATCATATCTTTATTCTCTTCCCCCTCCTGCCCCCCCCCTCTTTCTTAAATAGATAACTATCATATCTGATATCATATCTCACAGTACAATAATATTGAATGGGTTGCATTGTTGTATTTTGTCATGTTTCTCAGGTCTTTGTCTGAATTTCTACGAACATTATTGCTAAGGATTGTCTTATTGCATTGGAGTCACACTGGGTTAAATATGTACACTTGGGTTTTAAGGGGTATTTATTATTTTCTTCTTTTTTTGGGGTTGTATGGAAGCCCCAAACGCAATTTCATTGTTCTTGACAATGACAATAAATAAATACTACTACTACTACAAGAGCAAAGATATTATGATCCAGATTGATTTTTGCTGGGGTTTTTTTTTTTTTTTGAGAATGTCAGAAGAATGTCAGTTATCCTTGTTTCTATTTGATATGTATTTGTACAATTACTCAAACATCCTGGGTCTAGTTCTAGATTAAACTTGACTTTAAAAGGTAACCGCGTCTAAGAGCTACCTCTCATGTGGTTTTCATACCTCTGGTATAGATTTGTCTGACTTTTTGCGTAAATCGGCTGACAAAACAATCCTTTGCTATCCACTCTGAGAAAATCAGATTGTCCTCCTTAGTTCGGTCCTCTTTAAATTTAGATTAAGTTTAGTTTGTGTGTACGAAAGAGATCTTGGTGTGTGACAACCTATTTTCCTGGTGTCTATGAAAAATAAAATATCACTTTGCTTCCCTAAATTCCCTCTCTGGTGTTTCCCAAAGTTGCACAGTCAGATCTCTAGTGCTCAAATGTGTCAGCCACTTCATGATGAAGTACTGGTCAGATGCCCACCACAGTGTGCTGACACACACACTCTCGCACAAAAACACCAACAAGCAGAAAAGAGAAGAATGGTTACTGTCTAAATGTTTCATTATGCTCTCCAGGCAGAGAGAAACTTGCTTTTAAATGGTCTGTAAAGCACAGAGATTTAAACGATCTCCCACACACACTGCACAATGACTGTCTAATTTCCCTCCATCATACCTGGTAAGTCTCCCATTCATCCTTACGCTACGCAGGTTTGGTTTTAAGTCCCTACACAGTCAATCACTCTCTCTGGCTGACTCCTTTTGTTCTTTTTGCCAGCATTGTGTGTTTACATGGAGGTGGTTTATTTACCTCACACTGCTGGATGCTGTGTAGTCGGCAGTGAGCTCGGGCTGGGTGATTCATTTCATTTTCAGACAGGAATTTGACTTAAAACATTAAAAGCAAGTTAATCAAGCGAAAACAATCACTGTAACACATTTCATTCACAGTGATGGTCTTGATTTGTTACATGTTAAGCAGATCCGTGTCCTCTTGTGAACTGGATGTAAAGTGGATTGTACAAATGTGAGGCAGGGTGGTTGTACCCTGCTGGAAATGTGTTGTGTTGTTGTGATAGTAATCCTGCTTAGTATCCAGAGATTCAGGCATCTAGTCTGTATAATTGGATAAGGAAATGAAAACCCCTTTACTAATCTAAAAGTGACACCAAAACCCTCCACTTTTTTTTTTTTGCTAGAGTTTTATTGTCCATGTTAACATTGTTTTGGAGCACAGGGTGGCTAGGCTGAGCCTTCGACTTAGGATAAAAAGCTTAGATATTCAGGATTCATGCTACAACTTCCTTTGCATTAAAAGGAGCCACTCTGTCTGTCTGGTATCTGATAAAGTGTCTGCCTCTGGTGGTTTTTCCTATCATGTGTAACTGGTATGAGATTGTTAATCAGATCAAGAACATGGTAAGAGATTATATACGTTGTCTAGCTTGTTAAGACCTAGAAAAAGTCACAATGGACAGAACCGTCTCTCTAGCTTTCTCACTGGGGATTTATCCTTCATCTGTAAATCTATGCTATGGTGACATTGGAACCACACCCCTCTTAAACTACTTACTATAACCTGTGACCTAAACCGATATTAAGCCAGATTTAGACCACAGAGGTCTAAATCAGGTGTAAGACCTGATTTGTCCCCCTTGATGGACAATGATTCATATTTTCTTTTTTATTGATCTGATCTAATTTATTCTCTAATAAATTCTAAATCTTTTCCAAAATATTTGCTGGAAATTCACAGGAGGAATCAATGGTACTCAGCAGGCTAATAGCAATAGTTGCAGACTGCATCAACCGGATGTGCATTCACTCTTCTAGGGGGGGGGGATTAGGTTTCAGAGTGGTTTGCAGTTCCTATTGAAGCATAATTCCCCAGTTAGTCATCTGCCATTCAGAAGTAGCCAAGCCAAAAAACTCTGTTTCTGATTTGTAATAATTGCAATAGTTATTTTTTCCCCATCAGTTTCCCAAATATTTCACTTACTAAGTGTTTTTGTTTCCAGCTAATCACATATTTCAAGCTAATCTAACATTTAACCATAGCAGTGGCAAAACACAATTACAAAGGTGGAACTTTTCCTTGATCTAGGGGCTAACATTTCACTGAAAGCTGTCAGGGACATTTTGTTTGTTGTGTTTTCTTTTTTTTAATATCATGCTAACAAAAACCTTATTAGCTATGTAGTTCAGTCCATGTACATTCCAAGATACTGGTAGTTGGTGCTAAAGAATTTAGGAACGAGACACTGGTTCTAGCTTATATACATTTTCTGAAATCTTTCGAACCTTACCTGTAGTGCGCCCATAGAGCTCTTAGTCTTGTAGCCATGGCTCAGGTCCAGTTCCTTGTGCTATGTTCAGACCACTAATACCCTCATTACTGGTGGAGGGGAGTAAATTGGCTCAATCAAAGCTGTCATTAACTAGAGCACACAGTCTCCCCATCTCAAGTGGATAGAAGGAAAGTAGAGAGGCAAGGAGGTGGGACTGTTTATCACTGGCCAATCAAACCTAGTGCCAACCGGGAAACGGGGCCATTTCTGTTGCTGTGGGTCTGAGTGGACTTAGAAGTCAGATCCAGGGCTTCTGTTTTTTTGCTGATGCCAAACCACATTATCACAACAGAGGATTTGATTGAGTTTGCTCAGACCAGAGAAATTGCACTTGCCTGTCACTGACAGTTACTGATCATTAAGTCCAGAATTTTTGAATACCTCATAATTGGTAAAGTAGTTTGAGCCTTAGCTCATCCTGACTGCATGGTGTTCTTATGCAGGACTCTAAAAATTCAAACTGAGTGTGTACACGTGTAGGTGAAGGTTAAAGATGTTATGTGTGTTATGTCTGAATAATCTATCCATATAGGCCTACCCATTAGCTTGTTGGTTGGTAGGTGCAAGGCAGTCTGTCTTAATGAAGCACCTCAATTACCAAAAACATCTTTAGAAAAAAAAGGCAGAATTACATATACTGATTTTTTTTGTGCCTTTATTTCTGATACTTGTGAGTGTGAGTGACATCTAACATGGTTTAATCAAATGTGACTGTGCAATCAGCAGTGTAACAAACTCAAATTCAGCTTTGAAAGCTTTGGAAGTGGAACTTGCACCTTAGAAGTTTTGTTTTGTTTCTGGGGAATACCAAGCTAAATATTATTAAACCAGTACTAATCACCTCTGAACATTACCCGCTTAGCCATCAAACAGCATCTCTTTTTAAATATATTCCGCAGTTAAACAGGTCTTTTAAATCAATTCATTTCTAAGATCTTTCAAAGATCCAAGCTATTACATGTAATAGGCTTATAGTTGTATGGTTGGTATTTCATTCCAGTTATTGGTCCAGTGAGAACTGCTAGTCCATTTGAGTAAAGCACACCCTCTCTGGGCAAAAAGATGGTGTATTGGTTGTTTGGTGATTTTCTTTTAGCAATGAGGTTGATCAAAAATGCATAAAGTTTATACGTTAAAGCACTGCATTAATGTATGGTTTAATATACCTTATATTCTAAAGCTCTTTAAGAATAGGTGAGGTGCAAGAGAACATTTCTCTTGATGCAGAGATACTATGGGTCGTTCCTGAATGACATAGCACCTTATCGTCTTTAGAGGAAGTCCAGACACTCTTTCAGTCATAATCCACTGCATGTGGCTTGGGCAGTAAATCAGCTTTGACTTCATACTCAGCTGTCTTTACCACAACAGACCTCAGTTTGGCACAGAAACCTGAGAAAATTGAGGCCTAAAATATGGAAGTCCTAATTTGCAGCCACTGTGTGGCAACCTACCTCTACCTCCAATCTATGTGACCATATTAACAGAATCACTAGTTACCAGCAGTTAACTGAAATCTTGATTGTTTAGCTTATCTTTGAATGCTCAGTAAAACGAGTTATTTTCTTGCTAATAGAGCAGGGCGATATGACCAAAAGTATTTATCACGATATATATTTGAAAATTTGCGATAACGATATAACTGACGATATAATTGATGCGAGACAAAATACAACTCCACAACATTACTAGCGCAAAAAGACAACCTTCCATTTATTTTCACTTAAACAAGAAGCTGGTTTTTATGTACATTAAAGCTTTATAAAAATGTAACAGTGCAAATGCAAATTCCTTGCTGAAAGTTTAACCAAAAGGCATTTCCAGTAGAAATGGGCTGACATATCCTGAGCATAACCATGTATAATATCCACTGAAGTTAAAAAGAGGTGCTTTGCAACATTAAACTGCAGTGTGCAGTACGTATTTTTCGGACCATAAGGTGCACGGGATTATAAGGCACATTAAGCGAAACAAAGCAGTCAGATAAATCAAACTTTATTAAACTCATTCTTCTTGCTTCCTCCACTTCTGTACCATTGATTCATTAATGTTGAATTCTCTGGCAGCTGCTCTATTCCCATGTTGTTGCAGTATATTAATGACTAACCTCGTATTGTGGATGGATTATCTCAGTTGTTCTCCTGACTGAAGTTTGGTCCGTTTACAGCATCCTGCCATGCGATTGCATTTGTCTCTAACTATCAGGAACCTTCACGTTAACTTTTATAAGTGGAAAAGTGTTAGTGTTCGTCCTCCAGCTTCCCTGTTTATGTTATGCTAACATAGCTGTGTCGCTAGCGATTACGTAGCACATCATTATATACCAGCTAGCCCAACTTCAGTAACCCTACAAACGTCACTGCTGTTTAGTTTCCTGTCTTCATTTATGTTGGAAGTGATAGCAGAGCTGTACGTTTGATTTTTTCAGAAATCTCTCAGTCAGAACATGCTATATCATGCTTAGGTAACTAGCGAAACTAGCGAGCTAACTTCCGCTAGCTTCCTGCTAACTTCTAACTCTGTTAAATGTAATAAATTTTGTTTTATGGATGCCTGGAAGTTAAACTTCATAGTTACACCTGGTAAAGCAGCAATGCTGATCGTTTTATTAAAGATGAAAGAATTTAGACAGTTTTTAACGCTCAGTGATGCTGCAGTGTTCGTTTGACCTGAAGCATACGGAGTTTAGGACCCAGATTACTCCCAGATTTAAGAGCATCTTAGTCCGACAAATACGACAATAACGACGGCCGCTTGCATGTTCTGCAAAAAAATGTGCTTTGTCGTGTATCTGACGGACAAACACCAAACCAGTTCCACATCACTGAAGTTGCACCATTTTTACAAACCAATTCTGGTTCATCTGTTTCACTCAACAATCGGCCATGTGCGTATGAAAACAAAGGCACTGCGCATGCGCGTTTTACTCATATTCTATCGCGATATTTCATTTTCCTATCGTTGCCTAACATTATACCGGTATTACCGTGAACGGTATAATATGGCCCAGCCCTACTTGCTAATATCCATATTGAAGTGATGGCCCCAAGTAGCAGCATGTTTGAGACAGTCTTCAAATTTAAAACCCTTACCCTTCTTAACATTGTAGCTCCAAGCAATTTCTGAAAAGTAATGCTACATTCAAAAATGTTTGCTTAGTCGCTTGGCAGAACCTTATAGTCTTCATATTCAGTGGTTTATGGCTGCTGATTGTACACATTGTGTTTCTTTGCCTACAGGACTATAGTCTGGGGGATGACACACTACTGGATAAAATCAATTTAGCAGAGCCAGATCAGTACCACTTGCCTGACCTAACTGCTGAAGAACAGGCCGTCATCCTGGGTATCTGGTAAGTCTGCTGCCTCAGAGCCGAACTGTAGCTGTGCGTAAAATTGCAATTAGAATTGTTTAAAACAGTGGGAAAACCACTAAGAGTGCAGGTATATTGTGATACATACCGACGACGGTAGCCTCATAAGGAACATTGGGTTAATAGTTCATCTGTTGGATGTCAGAAGAAATTGTGTCTCAGGCCTGAAGACTGAAATAATTTCTCACCATCCTGCACATCTATTTAGATCTAATGATCCCCTCAGTTCAGTTTGCCCCTGCATGAATATATGCCATATTCTAGGGCTGCTCGATTATGGCAAAAATGATAATCACGATTATTTTCACTGAAATTCAGATCTCGATTATTTGACGATATTTATTTAACAATAACAATGTGTTGAATAATGGCTTAAAAGATTGTCAAAAAATAATATAAAATAGTGTGCAAATACTGATAACAGTGCAAATGTTTGCAATATAAAAAATAAATGAAAAATGTAAACATCTGTGTTTTCGTCTTTTACCGGAAAGGTCCTTGTTTACAGCGCAGCTCTTGCTCCACGTTAGCATCGGTGATTTGACAAGAAGGAAACGGGATTTACTTTTTTTTTTTTTTCTTTTTCAAAACTTCAAAATACTCCATAATATTTATGCATACAAATAACCAAACATCAAGGCAAGCTGTGTAGCCACACAGTGTACAATTGCATCAAACTGACATTGAGGTATGTCAATTTGTAGTGTTGCTCTGTGGTGCAGCTACGACACCGTAGCAAAGTTTACACACTGTGTCTTGATCCACGTCTGACTCCGCGAACCCATAATCTTTCCACACCACTGAAGCTCTTTTACCTCTCTTTTCAACAAGCGGCATTCTTTCTTCAGCAGCCATTATCCTCTCCTCTCCAAATAACTTCTTCTTAGCTTTCCGAGCTTCCCTCATGTCTTCTTAATTGTTGTGACGGTGTTCGAAACGCAGAGAGGTGCACTCGATTTGCCACACAGCAGCGCGAGAGTAAAGCACGAGGGAGGTGCTAATAATCGGCACAGTCATTTTTAATGATCGTTGAAAGCCCAGATCGTAATTTAGATTAAAATTCGATTGATTGAGCAGCCCTACCATATTCATAAATTGCTTTGTCTGAAGCGTCACTATGACTTTGCTAACCACTTGGAAAATTGTAGATCCCATTAACTCATAAGTTTTTCTCTTATCATGTCACCTATTTGTTTAATAGAAAGTTGTGATGACAAACTTTGTTATATTCTGCACTGTTCTGTTTGTATACAGTACTGTGAGAAAGTATTTTTCCCCTTCCACATTTCTATAGTACATCTTAAGTCTGAACTTTGACTAGGCCATTCCAATTTCTTATTTCTTTTTATTTGTATTTTTTGTGGGCCCATAAATGATGGCAAGTCATTCAGGTTCCAAACCAGCAAAGCAGCCCCACACCATCACAGTGCCACCACCATGTTTGACTCTTTGTGTGATGTTCTTTTTAACAAATTGAATTATTTTTACACCAGATGTAATGAGACACTAACCCTCCAGAAAGCTTAACTACTTTTGTCTTCTCAGTCTACAGAATAGTTTCCCAAAGGTCTTGGGGATATTCACGTTTGCAAATTTGAAATAAGGTTTTGTGTTCTATTTGGTCAACAGTGGTCTTTGTTTTGGAACTCTCCCATGTATGCCAGTTTTGCCCAGTCTCTTTCGCAGTGTTGAAAAATGAACAATGGCCATAACTGTGGAAAGTGAGACCTGCAGTTCTTTAGATGTTGTTCTATGTTTTTGTGACCTCCTGTTCCAAATTTTCCCCATTTGTGGATGACTGCTTTCACCATGGTTTGCTAGAGTCTCAAAGTCTTAGAAAGGGCTTTGTTACCCTTTCCATACTGATAGATGACAATGACTTTGTTCTGTATCTCTCTGAGTTTCTTTAGTTGGAATAATGTGTTGCTTTGTGAGATAATTTGGCGTTCTTTATCACAGAGGTACTATTTATGCTTTTTTGATTCTGCAGGTCTGGCAGTGAAAATGTGGTTAATCAGAGTTGATGGAGGTCGGGGGGATTACGCTTTCACATTGGGCCAGATAGGCAACAAATACATCATTGTTTTACACATTTTGTATTTGCTCTGATTATCTTTGTTTTCTTCTAAATTTTTTTTGATCTTTAATTTTTCAGTGTGACAAATATGCAAAAAAGGTACAGTAGCAAGATACAACAGAAGTACACAGTTGTGCAGTTGTGGGGGGTGAGGGAAGGGGACAGAGGACAAGTACAAAAGACAAACTGTTGGAGAGAGAATAACTGTTAATGACATGAGATGATGGTATATAAATCCTTCATGAGTGGGGGTAGTAGAGAGGAAATGCTCAGTGCATCTTGGGAAGTCCCCCTGCAGCTTGAGCCTATAGGAGATCAAATTAAGTTATGGTTATGGGTCACTTGATCTAGCCCTAACTTTTAGGGCAGCATCACTCAGAAACTGTATGTTTCTAAAATGGCGATATTGTTCAGACAAAAGAGGCAGTCCCACAGATCTATTTAATATGTGAGTTGGAGTAAGTATATGGTTATACGTCATTTTTGAGAGGTTTTTTTAAGCCAAACACAATATATCCTGAGTTTTGACTGAACTTAGAACCAACCCTCTGATTAGTAGATGACTTGCTGTACCTCCACCAGGAACAGATGATAGCATATGGTAACACTTGGGGCCTAGCAGAGCAGTGTGTTAGCAGTGTGAGCAAGATAAGATAAAATGACAAAAAAAGTGTTATCAAAAATTTGAGCAAGTACATCAACAAATACACGTAGATTACTTAATTTGATAGACTACTCATACAGTAAAAACCTAGAAACTACAATATTCTCTTTAGACGCAGAAAAAGCATTTGACAGAGTTAACTGGAAATTTCTATTTGCAACTTTACACAAATTTGGTTTTGGATCCTCTTTCATAAACTGGTTAAAAATATTATATAATTCCCCAACAGCTTGTGTTAGAACAAATGACCAGACATCCTCCAGCTTCTGTCTCTTGAGGGGCACCAGGCAGGGATGCCCACTCTCCCCTTCACTGTTTGCAATTTTTATTGAACCACTAGCAGCAGCAATTAGACAGAATTCAGTAATTAAGGGCATAAAATGCAAGAACGTGGAACATAAAATCAGCCTTTATGCGGATGATGTGTTACTCTTTCTCCAAAATTCACAAACCAATATCTCTGGGGTGATTGAATTGATAAACTCTTTTGCAAGAATATCAGATTACTCAATTAACTGGTCAAAATCTACAGTCCTACCGATTAATTGCTCCTCCATAATTCCTCTTCTACACCACTGCAATCGGGAAATATAAAATATTTAGGTATTAATGTTTCTCCCAAGCTTGCAGATCTAACTAAATTAAACCATATCCCACTTTTAAAGAAGGTAGAAGATGATCTGGCTAGATGGAAATGTCTACCCATATCACTCATGGGAAGGGTTGCCGCTATAAAAATGATGGTCTTACCAAAAATAAATTATTTATTCTCAATGATCCCAACTAAACCGCCACAAGATTGGTTCAGATCTCTAGATTCATGTATGTCCAAATTCCTTTGGAAAAATAAACCCCCACGTATAAGCTTAAAAACACTACAAAAGACCAAGGATAAAGGAGGACTAGAACTGCCTAACTTTCAGCACTACTTCTTAGCCAACAGGCTTCAGTTTATCTCAGGATGGCTAAAACATACCCTCTTAGATGAACCTTGGCTAGATGTAGAACAAGCACTTGCAATAATCTAGAGATCTCAGACCTACCATTTATCAGCTCAAACATCCAACGACATGAATGCTTTAAAAGCATCAACATCAGCTCTTCTCTGACAGCATGGTGGGAGTTTCTAAAATTGACGGCGTCTTCATTAATCCCATGCAAACGTACACCTATCTGGAACAACCCTGACATATTACAAAACAATAATATGATAAACTTTTCAGATTGGAGTGGTAAGGAATCAATGTAATGACTGTAAACAGGGAGCTACAATTAATAAAAAAATGGATGGACATAAATAAATTATCATTAAATATAAATAAAACTAAAGCAATGTTTTTTGGTAATTTAAAATATAATATAGAATTACCAATTATCATTGAAGGTGTACCAATTGATAATGTGAGTGAAAACAAATTTTTGGGAGTCGTAATTGATAACAAAATTTCATGGAAACCCCACGTCAGACACATAAAAACCAAAATTTCCAGAAGCCTCGCAGTTTTGAACAAAGTGAAACAATTCCTTGATAAAGATGCACTTCGTACTCTGTACTGTACCCTGGTTCTTCCATATCTTACATATTGTGTGGAAGTGTGGGGAAACACATATAAAAATACAACTAATCCATTAGTCACAGTACAGAAACGAGCACTGCGTATTATTCACAAGGCTGGTTATCTAGATCATACTCACAAATTCTTTCTTCAGGCAAAGTTACTTAAATTCCAGGATCTGGAAACAATGCAAAAATATTCATAGATTTAAATTTCTCTACAAACAGTTGGTCTGGTCACAGTATACTCAATGATGGTTTTTAGTGTGCTCTGTAATGTCTGTTCTCTTACCATTGCTGGTATGGATTAAAAAAAAAAAAAAGACTGTGCGTATGTATGTACATATATGTACATGTGTGTGTAGATATATATGTATGTATATGTATGTGTGTATGTGTGTGTTTGTTACTTGTAGTTATTACTGCCTGTTACCTGTGGTAATGTAATTTATAATTTATATATTCTGTATTCAGTTATGAAGGCTCTAATTGTTGTTTGCGAGCTGCAGTTTAGATGCTTGTATGCGCCCGGGGCTGTTGATGGGACTGTATGCAATAATGGGCGTAGCTGCGGGAAGTTTATTGTTTTGTTTTGTTTTTTGTTTTTTTGTTGATGAGTGAGTATAGGGGTGGGATTTAATAAGTTTTCTTCGTCCCACTCCTTTTTCAGGCAATTTTTGTTT